CCGTAGAATTCGGTTTCCTGTAATCATAGTGAATTAGCAAAACAAGGGATTCAACATCTTACTCTCCAGGAAACCAATTTGAGCGTACGGCGCTCAGCGAAGCTTGTTGCTGGGATAACCACACCTGTGGACAAGCCTCTACACGCGAACGATCATAATTCACCCACGAATGTCTACATAGGAAAGTGCTGCCACCCTGCACTAATTACACACCGGCAGTAGACCATCCACTAGCGTGGGCCCTAGCAAGACACTATGGCAGACGAATGTCAAAGACGCACACAGTCATCTCGGAAAATATGAAAAGGTTATCCTCGAGAACAAGACAAGTTGTCTGGCCAAAACCGGTCCACACCAATTAGCAGAACTTGAAATAGCAATTGGACGCCGAGCAGACAGAACAGCCATGGAAACGAAATTGCGCAAGCTCACAAGGGACAAAAAACACAATTGGGACACTTGGATTGAAATCCTATCTGGCCGCCACACAGCTGGGATACTTGGATCGAAATCTTATCTGGCCGCCAATTCAGCAGAACCTAACAAGAACTTCTAATGAAGGGACTTAACTTAAAGTTCGAAAACGAATCTTACAAAGATTGTTTAGCTAGCTTGAAACGCGCCCTGAAAGCGAACAAAATGTTCGGGAATGTTCAACAACAGATTGGGCAGACAATCTTACCGGCGGGCGGACAAAATAGAAACGTGCTAATGATTTCCAAACAAGAATGAGACGCACTCAGGAATCTACAAAAATGACGGAACAATCGGAATACTACCGGTGAACAAAGGGGCATCACGTTGATAACCGACAAGCCAGATTTCATTGAAAAGGCCAAACAACTGCTAAATGACACCATGACCTCCAAGTCAATCGATCATTATCCAACTTCAAACATCATCAATCGAATCAACACGACGCCCAAGAAACTGAAAGCACCACGCATGGCCAAGTCAATCGATCATTATCTAACTTCAAACATCATCAATCGAATCAACACGACGCCCAAGAAACTGAAAGCACCACGCATGGATGCCGATGTTACCAACATTGCACAATTCTACGGTGCACAAAGAAGGAAATCCACTTAGACAAATCGTTTCACGTCCAGGAACCCCATCTTACACACCAGCAATTACATATGGAGAAGATTGAAACACTTAATTTCTGAATCGGAACTCATTATCGATAATTCAGGTCAATTTCAACGCAAACAACGAAATGTCAGTACGAAATAGGATGAAATCAAGATTTTATTTGATGTCACATCACTGTTCACTTTAATCAACCACAACCGCTCCAGAAAAACCATAGAAGAACTTCTTCAGAATAATCCGAACACGATAGAAACAATGAAATCTGAAAGTATATGCAAACTGCCGGACTTTTGCATGGATACATACTTTACTTTCGACGGACTAAGGAAAGGAACTGAAAGGAACTCCAGTGGGATCCCCTATATTAGGATTTATCGCTGAGGCGGTAACGCAATGGTAAGAGCGTGCGGTACAGCCAACCATTAATCCAAAGCTGTGGACCTACCACGTGGACAACATCTCTGTTATCATCAAACGGACTCAGGACACAAGTTTGGATATATCAAGTTTGCAATTGAAATGGAAAGGAACAACCGACTATCATTCTTGAACGTTTTAGTGAAGAGATAGGTGAACAGAACTCTGGAAACAGACATACGGGTCAAATACTGCACTACAACAGCAATCATCCAGTAGACAACAAGAAGAGTGACGTCCACACCCTGTTCAGGAGGGCGGAGGCACGGCTGTACCACAAAATTGCGAAAGAAGGAAGGAAACCATGTATTCAGAATATTCCAGAACAATGAATATCCAAGGAAT